ACAGACAAGAAGGAAGGGCTAGCCAGTTCAGCTGGTACTTCTCCGGAAGTGAAAAATCTAAGGGGAATCAGGCTGAAAATGGCCCACACAAGAGACTCATCAAACAGAGGCTGAGATCCAGCACCACAATTACAGCAGGGGCTGGGGATCCTTAATCTGGAGCAGAGAAGTGGTGCACCAGCTCCTTCTCTGGACCCCTACCCCTACTTCTCTCCCCTCATCCCTCCATTTTGCACCCAGAGCTCTCCTTCACAGCCTTATTCCTCCCTGATACAGGGTGTTCTTAAGTTCCTGGTCCCACATCTTGGCTGGCACCTGGCATTTACTCATCAAACATTTGTGGCCCCGGATCCAGGAGTGTACAGGGACAGAAACAAACAGGTGGGCTCCTGGGTGAACGTGCATTTGGGGAGCATCCCAGGTCCCGCCTGGGCTGGGTCAGAGCACCACTGGCCGACAAACACCCTAAAGCACATGTGCCATGGAATGCTTCCCGAAACCAGCAGAGGCTGCTCTGGCTGAGGTCACCTTGGCTCCTTCCTCCACACCCAGCTAGCCGTTCCTTCCCCACTCCTCCCACCCCTTCCTAGCCTACCAGAACCCACTCTGAGTACCCTGCACAGTGGCACGCAGAGAGATCACCAGAGCATTTGCTTTTCTCATAAAGGCACCCTGGACCACTCACTGTTTGTCAGGCAGTGTTTGCCTAACACAGAAGCAGGCTGGGCTAACAAACCGGTCTGGCTGGTTTATGGGGCAGCAGGGGGCCCAGGGAGACTTTGGAACCTCTGGCAAAGCACTGCGGGCCCTGATGTTTACTTTGCCCTGAGCACCTCACTCTGCTGGAGGAGGCAGGTGCAACTCTCACTCAGGGTACAGACAGGCACCAGGGACACCTGCCCTTGGCATGACCAAGGGCATCCCTATCTCCTGTCCTACACTGACAGAAAATCCAAAAAAGACCTTCCGAATCTGCAGACCACAGGACCCTGGCAGGGAAGAGCAGGGTTGGAAGCGGACAAGGAAGGGGTGGCGCGGCAACTCAGAGTCGCAAGGGCCAGTCCATAGCAACAAACCTGAGCTGGGTTAAAAGAGAAACTGACCAGAGCAAAAAAAAAAAAAAAAAAAAACACAGCCAGAGACCCTGAGAGAAGCCACCTCAAATTTCCTTTTTAATTCCAAGATGAACACTTAAAGATGACTGACTGCCCGTCCAATTCCCGATGCAGGCTCTAAGGTCGCCCAGCTCCCTCCTTGCCCCCACAGCTTTCAGGAGGGAAAGCTCAGTTCTGGGATCCCCAAGGACACATTCAGAGCCAAGGTTCAATTTCAAGAGTGGCTGGCCGGGCAACCACCGTATCAGAAAGTTCCAACAAATTCTTTCTGCCCTTTTGCAATCAGCCTCCGGGTCTGTTCAGTGCAAGGCCACAGGGAGTGTGGGAGGACAAAAAAGGCACATACTCACTCATGCATTCATTCACTGGCTCCAAATAACACACCAGTGCCCACTCACTGTTCTCTGGGAAATAGGAGCCATGTTCCTCTCCACTCAGGCTTACCTTCCATTCATGACAGCTTTCTCCCCACTTGCTGACTCAAGGAACAAACGGAGCTTTTTAAATTCTCGCAACAAACCTGTGCATTAGTGCCATGTCAGATGGGGAAAATGAGGCTCACAAAAGTAAAGCGAACTACTCAGAACTGGTAGCTAGAACAGGGATTTTTGGTTTCTTTTTTGTTTGTTTGTTTGTTTGTTTTAAATATACTTGATCCTGGGCCTGGCAGCGTGGCCTAGCGGCTAAGTCCTTGCCTTGAACGCGCCGGGATCCCATATGGGCACCAGTTCTAATCCCGGCAGAACAACTTCCCATCCAGCTCCTACTTGCGGCCTGGGAAAGCAGTCAAAGACAGCCCAAAGCTTTGGGATCCTGCACCCGTGTGGGAGATCTGGAAGAAGCTCCTAGCTCCTGGCTTTGGATTGGCTCAGCACCAGCTGTTGCGGCCGCTACAGGAGTGAACCATCAAACAGAAGGAAGATCTTCCTCTCTCATCTTTTCTCTCTCTAAATATCTGCCTTTCCAATAAAAATAAATAAATCTTTAAAAAAAAGAAAAGAAAACCAGTAGAGAGGCCAGGTCTGGGACGTGTGACACATGCCTCTTGGAGATGTTAGGGTTTTGGCAGCTCTTGGAAGATGGGCGAGCCAATGGCTGCAGTGGTGCCTTATCTGGGGCTCTGCTGGGGAGGGAATGTGTAACAGACGCCACAGCGAGCCTCGCCCAGTGAAGAGCCCGGGAGAGCACACAGGGATTTCCAACACCACCTGGCAGAGGAAGACAAGGCCAGCAGGCCCCAAGGGGATGGCACGGCCAACCTTCCTTAAATGGCCTTGCTGGGCCTGGGGCTTGGCACGGGCTCCTCTTGAGACACAAAGGCAAGAGGAGGCGAGAAGACAGCCCACGAATTGGTCTCTTTTCCCAGTAAGCTCTGTGTCCACCCTGGGCCCAGATTTGAGTGAACGTGCAGGTGATTTTGAGGCATCCGTGGGTGGGGGCATGGGGAGCTGGGGACGGGAAGTGATCCCAGAACAGGTCTTCCTATTTGCTTTCCTAACACCCAGTTTAACTTCAGGGCCCGCGTGCCATGCACACCACCATTCAGCGAAATGGGTGTGTGGGGTTAGGCCACATAGGTGGGTGCCAAGGCCAGGCTATGGAAGAGATCAAGGTGGGAGAGTATCCCTTAGAAAGCCTACCTGCCTGTCCTACTTTCCTCCCCAACCATGGAACTGTGTGCCCTAAGCAAATACTCCTGCAACCCCAAATGATTTACCAGCCCAGGTTTGGGTGAAGAAAATGCAAAATAGTCAGCAACTCTAATGAGCTGACAGCTGAATTTTTGGGATAATATTTTCCCGTTCAGGAATTGGACAGAAACCACTGAAATAAAAGGTAGGGACTTGGGGCGCCCATCACCTCACAGGGTCTGGGTTGATCCTAGCCAAACTCACTCAAGTCCCCTGGGCTCAGCCAACACCCTATTCGTGCCACACTACAGCTTCCTGTGAGAAAAGGGTTCCAAGTTCCCCACTTTCAGATTCCCCACAAAGCCAGTGACTAAGCCTGGTGCCCACACTACCCAGAGAAGCCCCTTCTGAAACCCCAGCTCCCTGCTTCACACCTCCAAGCCAGTCCCTAAGGTCCTACATATGTCCATCCATGCTCTGATGGACACCTCTGTCTGGGGGGTGACAGCACCCCAGACGGGTAAAAGGAGACCCCCTCCAGTACAAAAAGACTGTAAAGAAGTGAGAAAGAAGACAGGAAATCTCTTGAGTGGGAGCTGCATTAGCGACATAAAGGGAACTGCAACCAACCGCACAAGAAGCTTGTGCAAGTCTGGTGTCTGCCCTATCGCCACCCATCACCTGCAGCACCAGCTTCCCTCAGGATCCCACTCCAGCTGGTGCATCCCAAACGTTCCTAACGATCCCCCCAAGTTCTGGTGCTTGGCTCCTTAAGACGCCCTAACAGTAACCTGTAACCTGGCCCAATGTGGGTGGCAGGGACCCAGGGGACTTGATCCGTCAAAGTTGGGAGTACAGGCAGGACTTGACCCCAGTCACATCGTGATACCGGATGCAGGTGCACCATGCACCAGGCCAGTGTTATCACCAGCAGGCCAAACTCCCAACTGCCCTCAATCTGCCCGCCCCTCCCCTCTTTAAAACAAAGGGGAAAGAGGAAGACAGGACCAGGCATAGCTCCTTCACACATGACTAAACTGCTTACGCCTCAGTTTCCCTACTTGTAAAACAGCAATAATCAATGGCACCCCTCTAACAAAGGGGTTCGTGAGCATCAAGGGTTGTAAAAGACGTGAAGCACGTGAGACCCGCGCTGAGGTGAATTACAGGCACTGCTATTCATCATCATCATTGACATGCCAACATTGGCCAGACACAGAAAGGGAGGAAAGTCAGATGAACCCAGCCTGGGTGTGCTAGTGCATACAACCAAAGTGAGTGCACCAAAAAGGGGGCACCAAGACACGTTGACTCCACCACGCTGTCGAGAGGCGGGACACCTGCTCTGCTAAAACATCCATCCATCCATGCTGCCAGCTAACCTGGGCATAAGGTCAAGACCCAGGCTGAGAACTGAGGGGCCCCAACACCACCAGCTCCACGGCCCTGCTTTCCCAAGTTCAGAAGCCTCAGGTCTCAAACACACCGAAGCCTCTGTTGTAACATCCTCTGACGCTGTTCTAAATGGATGGTTGTAAGGCCACAGCCTAGAGGTAAGAACGCAGGGGAGGTCTTTTTCCCAGGGGAGATGACTGCTCTTTTAAAAAACGCCACAGTCAGGACACTTGCCTAATCACCTGGAGTGAGGAGGAAGGACCCAGTGGGTTGATGTCAAGCAAGCACCTGGGAATTGACAAACCCACGGGAGCACCTGCACCCTCCCTCTTCTCCCTCCCCCCCAGGAGCAGGGAAGGGGAGGGAGCAAAGCACATTCTAGATGAACACCGAGATAAGGCCCAGGTCCATGGGGCGTTTGCATGTGTTTTCATTGAGTCATGAGGAAATAGAAGCTCCACTGAAATGTCCTTATCTCTGTGAACCAAGTCCCAGTCCTGGGAACAGAGTGGGCTCCTCAGGCACCCCACAAAGGATGGCTCAAGGGACATAGGGCTCAGGGCCCAGTTCCAAATCCTGCTCCCAAAGGCATGCTCCGGGCCTCAGCTTGCCTGTCTGTGAGCTGCCGGGAATATTCCCACCAGGTGGGATTCCGCGATCTGCGGGATGGATAAATACACCTTACAGCTGCCGCTGGAGAAACACCGAGTACCCCCAACCTGCCCCGACTTTCCCATCCCAGCACATTCCAAGGCAGCAGCGGTGGCAGCGGGGCCCCGCGCCCAATGCGACAGGGGCGTGGGAGTGCCACGTCCCAAGCCCTTCCCCGCCGCGCCCAGGCCTCGTGCGGCGCCCTCACCTCTGCCCAGGACGCGGCCTCGCTCCAAGTGCCGCCGGGGCACGGTGAACACGTAGTTCTCGGAGCCAAAGCCGGGGTGGCACGGCTCAGGCTCCTGGCACAGCCGCGGGGAGACCTGCACGGGCGAAAAGGCACGAAGCTGGGGTTATCTGGTGGGGGTGAGGGGTGAGAGGTGAGGGGCTCCCTCCCGCCCACACCGAAACTGCCCGCCCCGACTCGCGTCGACGTCATCTCCCACCCCGAAACTCTCGGCAGGGGGGAGGGGGCACCTCGTTCCTGTGGCTCCCTCCCGGCCTTCTCTTTATCCGGCAGGTGCCTTTACCTGCAACGACGTCGACTCTTCCCTCACCTGAGGGCGTCGTCCCTAAGGCTGCCGGCCCCACCTTCCCTCGCACCCGGGCTCCCCTTTCCCATATCCCGGCCCTCAGCCCGCTCCGACCTGGCGCGGGCGACAAGGCGCGCCCCCCCAAGCTGGGTCTTGGCCGGAGGCAGCCGGCAAGCCATTGCGCATCCCAGCCCCCTCCCGCTCCGGAGCGCCGCGCCGCTTCCAGGCCGTTTCTGCACTTGGGATCCAAAACTTTGTGGGGAGGACAACGCGAGAGGGAACCGGGCGTGGGGCGGAAACCCGAAGTACCTGCATTAGCAGCAAAAGCAGCAGCAGCAGCCCGGGGAGGCTGCGGCGCAGAGGGCCCATGGCGCGCTGCCGGGGGCCAAGCGAAGGCGAGGACCGGGAGCGCTCGGCTTGGCTCGGCTCGGGCCGGGCGGCTCGGGTTGCGCTGGGTTGGGCCGGGTGACGGACGGGAGCGACTTCTGCGAACTACTAGGTGCTCCGCGGCTCCGAAGCCTCTGATCCGGGCAGCTCCGCAGCCGCCAGGTGAGCCCCAACGCTCCGCCCTCGGCACCACTGATTGGCTGAGGATGCACCTGTCGGCCGCAACCAATGAGCGGCGCGGCGCGGCCCCCGCATCTTCCACGGGGCGGAGCGGTCAGCCACGCCCCAGGCCCGGGTTCGTCTCCCCGGCCCGCTCCGACAGGTCCGGGACCCCTTCCCGGTAACGAGTCGGTCACAGACCCGGCAGGCTGTGTGACACGCAGGCTCTGCTCTTTTGATTCCACCGCCCCTGCTAATGTAGCCCCGGGCGCGGTGCCGGCGCTGGTGCCAGTGATTAAATGTGGTTGATTCCTAGGACTTTGGGGGAATTTGGGGAGTGAACCAATAGCCGGATGGAAGCGCTCTCTCGCGCGCGCTATTTCTCGGAAAAGAAACCAGGATGCGAGGACTATGGACCCGGTGCGGTAGCCTAGTGGCTAAAGTCATTGCCTTGCACACGCCGGGATTGCATTTGGGCAGTTCTAATCCCGGCAGCCCCGCTTCCCATCCAGCTCCCTGCTTGTGGCCTGGGAGGGTGGACGGAAACGGCCCAGGGCCTTGGGACCCTGCACCCACCTGGGAGACTGGTAGAGGCCCCAGGTTCCTGGCTTCGGATTGGCTCAGCTCCGGCCATTGCAGCCGTTGGAAAGTGTATTTGCTGACAGAGGATCTTCCTCTCTGTCTCTTCTCTCTGTAAAATAAATCTTAAAAATAAAAATAAATCTTAAAAATAAATAAATAAATAAATATAATAAATAAATAAAAATAAATCTTAAAAAAAATGTTTTTTAGAAAGATGAGGAGTGATACTAATGACCCAGGTTAAGCCATTTCAAACCAAGTGGAGTGCAGTGCTGTTTATTCCTTGGGAGAGCTGCCTGAAGATTGGAACCCAATGCTCTCTGGTTCCTGGACTTTTAGCTGAAACTCATGTGACCCCAGCCTCCAAGCTAGAACCTTGGTTTTCAATTTCATTTCATCGGGTTGTTTTTTGTTTTTTGGTTTTAATTTTCATCCACTTGATGGGAAGGGCTGAGAGAGAACAGGACAAGACAGGCAGAGAGAGAGCGAAGCTGGAGGTAGAGAGGGGGACCCTGTTCATCCACTGGTTCACTCCCTAAATACTTGCGATGACTACACCGGACAGGAAGTGGAATAGCTGAGCTGGAACCAGGGGCCCTGACAGGGACTGGACACCTCCATCTGTTTTTCTGATACCAACCAAGAAGAGATTCCTTAGCAGCCATTCATTGGTTATTTGCACATAATTCACCCAATATCATATAGCAAGTTAGGGTCAAAGCCATGACCAGAACCCAAGATCACTGGATCCCCACAGGGGGCCTTTAATGACACAGGCACACCACAGCAACCACCACCTAATGTCTAATTTGTCTCTGCCAAAATGATTTGGGGAGTGGGTGTTTGTTCCAGCAGTTAAGACCCTGCCTTGGCATGCCCAAATCCCATACTTGACTATGGGATCTGTATTCCAGTCCCAGCTCCGCTGCCTACTCCAGCTCCCTTAGTGCCCCCGGGGACGGCAGCACAAGATGCAGGATGGAGTTCAGCCTACAGGCTTCAGCCTGACCCAGCCACTGTCGCAGGTATGCGGAGAGTGTGTGAGGAGTGATTTGAACATCCCATCTTGAGCCCCGCACAGCTTCCTGCTTCCTCTTTCCCACAGCTGGTGATCACATGAAATGCAACCTTACCTGAGAATCCCACCCCCCAATCTCTTGCGGCCCTCCCCCTAGTCCCCACACCTCACCGTGGCTCTGATAATCTGAGTCACCAGTCCCTGGGGCTCCACTACAGCCCCTCCTCCCAACCAATTCCCTGGGGCCTCTCCCACACCTTGCAGGCGCCCCTGTGTTGTGTAAATGAGCCTTGATGCGTGTCCCCCTCCCTTTCTCTGGTCCTTCCGTCACTTTCTCCTTCCCTCCCCTTTCACCTGGCTCTACCCTGTTCTCGTCCATCTTGGCCCTTCTCCTGCCCTGGCAGCCCCCATCCTGCCACAGTGGCAGGAGACGTGACCCTTCTAGTTTTCTTCCCTTGCTCCCCCTGTCCCGTTCCTACCCTGCTGGAATAAAGGACCTACTAAGCACCTCGCTGCATCTGGGATTTTGGCTTGCGGTAAACTTACTGTGAAAAGAGGACTTGGTTGTGGGAATTAGCTGCGCATAACAACGGAAGAACTTTAAGAACTGTAAGAACTTTAAATGCCTTTAAAACCTAACAGAGTGAGTCAGTACGGATCTCTCTGCCTTTCAAATTAAAATGAAAATAAATACAAACTAAAATAATAATTTTAGAATCAAAAACACACTAGACCAGCAAGCATTAGTCAAGGTACGTTTCACATCTGCGTGTGGCAGCAGCCATCTGCACGGTTTGGCTACAGGCAAGGAGGCCGCCTCTTTTCCCCCTCCTCTTCCCGGCGGGGCCAGGATTACAAAGCAGTCTGTGGCCTGTGGCCTGGGTCACAGCGCCGTTCTCATCTGTCTAAGGCGCTGGCTGGAGCTAATGCGAAAGCAATCAGTGAGTGTGGCGGCTGTTCCTTTGAAGGGGCCATTTGGAGTATTCCACCACCAAGGAGTCCATGGGGGGCCAAGGAGGGCACTTGCTCAGCTGCTGTAAGAGAGAGAGGGCTCCTAGAAGACCAGGGCCACGCTGCCAGCTGCCCCCCCTCTCAAGCTCGCACCCACCCAGGCAGCTCGGTTCCCACCAGGGGGTTCCGAGGGAGAAGGCTCCGGCATTTCCTTTCCCACCTAGGCTCCTGCAGGCCTGTGTGTTAAACAAGACAGTGGAAATACAGAATCAGGCGTCGCCCCCGAGGAGTCAGCCGCCTCTTCTGTTTATTTTCTTTCTCCCAGGGATGTAAAAAATACATATTTGATGCCATCCCCGCGCCCAGGGAGCCTTGGGGTTTTGCTTTCTTCTACTCAGCATGCCCTGTCCGCTTCTCTTCCATTATACTTGAGTAATTCAATAAAAGGATTTTAGAGAACAATTAGGGGCAGAGAGAACAGGTCAGGCTTCAAGTCCTCCTGCAGGCTCTCCCTTGAAGGGTCCAGAAAGCTCTGTTCACCCCTACCATGGCAGTCTAGGCTGGGGAGGAGACACAGAGGGGCGGTCGGCCTTCAGCAACCATGAGCTGCCTCGGTTTCCCCTCCCATCAAGTTGGAAACACTGGGGGTTGATGCAGGACGTTGAGCTCTAAGGGTCTACCACAAGTCACCAGGCTCTCTGCCTGCCTCACTGCCCTTCCTTCACAAGGTTCCTGAAAGCACCTTATTAAAATCCGCTGCTAACACTCTTGGCCCAGCACTTGCCCTTCCCACTTCCTGGAAAAATAGTGAGCTCTCCCCGGGAGCCTCTCCGGTCTAGGATCTTCTCCCCCGCCCCACAAGGTCTTCCAGGCAGAGGCTGTCCTGGGACAGCTTTCACAGCGGCTGGTCCTTGGGCCCCTCCCGGAATATCTGCATTTGAAAGAGGGCTCTCCCAGGCTGACCTCGCCCTTCGGAGCAGTGAAAGCCAGGGGAGCTGGAAAGCTCTGCCCAGGCTGCTCGCACCCAAGGCCACACCAGGGCTTCTGGGGTCTCTGGAGGCCCCCTGAAATTGTATGCAAATCAGGCCCTGGAGTTGTTGAGGCCTGTGGCTTCCCGCAGGCTCTCACTTGGCCGCCCTGGCCGCTCTCCCCCAGGTTTGACAGTGGAATTTCAGGTGGTGGCCAGACAGGCCTGGCCTAGGCCTATGACACCACTCCCGGGAGCAGCTTCTGCTGCCCAGTGCCGGGTCACTGTACATGCTTCAGCTTTGTGGGGTGTGTCTCTGATGGACTTTTCACTCTGGGCCACCACCTGCCTGCTGGAGGAAAGGGTACAGGAGGTTGGTTAACCATTAATCCCTCAGGTGAACCAGCTCTCCCAGCAAGCAGCTATAATAATGGTGCCCTTCTGCTGGCCTCTGCCAAGAGGAGTCCAGTCCTGGGCAGGAAAAGAAGAAATCAGGTCAAGAGACTTGGAAAGAAAGGTTCCATTCCTACAGCCCGTGAGCGCTGCTGACTCTCCTTGAAGGGGCCTGGAAAGAGCTGGGGACCCCTGCCAGCATGCTGTTAAAACACGGTGGTCAGGACTGGCACCTCAGTAACTTCTCACCTTGCACATGCCCTGGGATCCCATTTGAGTTCTGTTTCTAATCTCAGCAGCCCCATTTCCCATCCAGCTCCCTGCTTGTGGCCTGGGAAAGCAGTGGAAGACAGTCCAAATCCTGGGGACCCAGCACCCCCGTGGGAGACCCAGAAAAAGCTCCAGGCTCCTGGCTTCGGATCGGCACAGCACCGACCATTGTGGCCACTTGGGGAGTGAACCAGCAGATGAAAGATCTTCCTCTGTTTCTCCCTCCTATGTATATCTGACTTTGCAATAAAAATAACTAAATCTTTAAAAATTTTTTCTTTATTTGAAAGGCAAAATTTACATAAAAAACACAGAAAGAGAGAACTTCTATCCACAGGTTCACTCCGCAATGGCTGCAGTGGCCAGAACTGTACCTGTCCAAAGCTAGAACCAGAAGTTTCTTCCAGGTCTTCCATGTGGCTACAAGGGTCTGAGGACTTGGACTATCCTCCACTGCTTTCCTAAGCACATTACCCAGAAGCTGGATGGAAAGTAGAGCAGCCAGGATTTGAAGATTCACTCTGATCCAAAGCAAGGAGCCAGGAACTTCTTCCAGGTCTCCTACGTGGGTGCAGGGTCCCAAGGCTTTGGGCCATCCTTGACTGCTTTCCCAGGCCATGGGAACTGGAGCTGCCGGGATTA